GTATAGTCCAAAATCGTAAAAAGTTATTCGAGTCATTAGGAAATCAGATAATACAAATATGTGTTCACTAGGGTGGGTCAAAAAACGATTTTTTTTTTCTTTGGTACTCTGAAAAATATGTTCTTAGACACCTTTCCGAAAATCTCTCCAAGTATGAACTCTCAATTGTAACAGGAAGGTTCTCCGGCTTTTGTAGAGCGGTAAATTTCCTACCAAATCGATAAAACGAGATATTTTTTCAAGTAGTAAAAAATAGTAGAGTTTTTAACCCACCCTAGTGTACACACTTTGAGTACACAGTATTTTCACCTTTACTGTTGGTAATTAAATATCCAGTCTCATATTTTTTAAGTAACAAATACAGAGAATAAAATTTTTGCACTTCATAACCTCAAAAAATCAGTTATTTTATCAATTAATTGTCAATCCATTGAATTTAAACATTTTAGAGGCTAGAGCCAATGCTGCGGCAGTACTGAAGGTCACTAAATTTGGATATTCCGAAGAAGTTTGAAGAGCAGCGCACCTTAGTTAAATTTTTTTATATAATGTGGGTTACTAGGGTCTGACAAACTCAATTATAATGACTTAAAATTTTTTAATTTTTTTTATTTCAAATCAAATTTCTTATTCTTAACACCCTAGACACTGTAAAATGTATTAATTTTAAATATTTCGTTTTCTTCCATTACAGCCATCATCACGTCCTGAGTCCGATTTCACTTTAGACCTACCACGTGCTGAGCAGCTACGCATCAAAATGGAAAAGGAAAAGAAATTCCGCCAAAGATGTCGCTACATTACAACGTTTTTGAGTCTGGTCTTCTTCTTGCTCACCGTTATGGTGGTCAGTTTGGTGTTGACGCGCGGCAAGCGTATGTTCGGCAGCATGATTTAAGACAAAAGCGCAGAAAATTAAAAAATTTCAGAAATAAAAAATTTTATCATATTAGTTAAAGAAGGAATAGATATAGTGAGAGATAGATGGGAGACCAAATAAAAAACAAACGCAACAAGTAAAAGACATTAAAATGACAAACCAAAATTGCGTAAAAGTCAACTTGAGACTATAAAACAATTTACATATGACTTTTGACCATGTTTTATTAAATTTTTTTTTTTGTTCAAAATTTTGTTTATGCCAACTTTTATTAAATCTGATAGGTTAGTTAGCACGTTTTTTGAAATTTATATTGAAAACAGTTAAGACTTTAATCTTGTTTATTTGTAAAATATTTTTAATTAGTTTTTGTTTTAGAATGGTATTTTCAATGTATTTTGAGTTTGTGCTCATGTCAGCTTTTTTCGCAAATTTGTACTAAGAAAATCGTAGTTTTGTGTGAAAAAAAGTTAGAAAATACTGGAAATCATGAAAGAAATGTCTCTTTTGTAAGTCTGTTAACCTTGTAATAAATATGTAAATATTTGTAGCTTTTAAGTTTAATCTGCTTGACTTTATTTAATTTTATAATTTTTGGTTTGCATTCCTTATATTTTTCATTTTTTTGTTTTTGCTATATCTTTAAAAAAAAATTAAATATAAACAAAAAAAAACATGTTCAATACAAAAAATTATATATATATTTAGTTAATTATATATGTATACGTATACTATAAGCAACTAAATTTAATGTTATGGAGTCGAACGAAAACTTAAAAATAATTAAATACAAAACAGAAACATTAAATATAAAATATTAATAAAAAATATGATTATGAAAAATGTTGAATAAGTTAACTATATAGAAAATAAAAAAGGAATAAAATTTTCAAAAAAATAAAAAAATATATATGGATGTATTTGTTATCTTAAATGAGCATTAACACAATGTCGCCACAGAGAAAATAAATATATATAAATTTATGCTATACTACAATAGTTATACTATATATTATATAAAAAAAAAGAAATCAGCGATTTTTTAAGAAAAGTTTTAAATTGAAATAAAATCGAATACATACCTTTGCTGCATGCAAACTTATTACAAATATACGAAAGCATGCAAAATATCGTTATTATTTACAATTAAATAATACATTAAAAATTAATTTAGTAATTAAATTTAAAAAAAATATATATTATATTATATAGTACCAATATATGTACATATATAAAATAATTATTTTTTAGTATTAAAACACACATACATGCATACATACCGCAAATATGAAATTAATTCAAAAATTGAAAATACAAATCGACATCAAAATGTTAACAAACATACTTAAATGAAAACTTAAAATATGTAATATGTACATATGTTGATCAAATTTTTATGAATTTCCTTTATTTTCTTAAACGAAATGCATGTGTGGCAGCAGTATTGTTAATAAATTATTCTCTATGTGATGCTAGTTGTTAGGCTGTACAATAGTTGCGTTTTTGTTTGCCTTGTACGCGATTAAGTGAACGCTTACACACGCGTTATATAAGCTCGCTTCAATAATAAAATATCTTTAATATAATTTCCATATGTAAATACATAAATGCATATACATGCATGCATAAATAAATAAATAAATAACAATTTATACATGTACATACTCAAAAACTAATGAAAATTCTTATAAATAGTTTTGCTATTATATTATTTACTGTGTATATATACTTACATATGTATATTAGTTGTCGTTCTTTTGGCAAGTCGCAAGAGCTATGCAAATGTAAATGTGCACGCATTAAAAAAACATTTAGTTTCCATATAAGTATACTATATACATAGTTAAAAAGTCTAGACCATAAATAATTAAACAATATTAAAATTTAATAATCTACAATTAAAACGTTGTTTTATTTGAAATAATGGTATTTTAAAATTCTTAAGGTGAGTTGAAGGGCTAAATTGGACTTTATTGATATTTTCAACGGCGCTCAGGAAATTTCAAAAATAAGTCGAATTTTTTAAAAATTACAATTTGCCTTTGAAAAATTTTATAATTTAAAAACAAATTAAAATAAAAACGCATATAAAAAATTTGTTTAAAAAAAACCCCACCACAGGCTGCGTGGTAAATATATGCTAATTTCATATTTACTAAAAATTTCTATTAGTCAGTCCTTGGATTAATATTTATTTCTCTTTATTATTTTAATCAAAATATTCCTTAAATCTCAAATACAAAAGTTTTTTTTTAATAAAAAACCCAACAAAGGCTGCGTGGTAAATGTATGCGCATTTCCAACTCAATAACTGCAAAACAATTGCATAAACGACGGCGACGGTAAACAAAAGTCAGCAGTCACGGTGTAGCCACCAATGGTGACCAAAATAGTTATGGAATATCATTCATGCTTATAATAACAAAAATATTAAAAAATAAAAATTATTTTGAAAAATTTAAAAACATCAAACTAATATTTAAAAAATAAAAAAAAAATGTCAGAGTTATAAAAAACACAACAACATTGTGTACTGTCAAGCCTAACAAATTCATCAAATGCACAATGCTATACAACATCTGGCCACACTATTTTCGACATGAAAACATTCAATTCACTGCAGACGAGTATGTTGTGTGATCTGTGCAATTTTGTTGGGTAAATAAACAATCAATTAAATAATTCTCAAATGCGGCAATAAAAGTCAACTTTTTTCAGATGCATAGAATGGCTAAACTGAAATTAATGGATAGTTGCACACTACTGATTCTCTGCTTATATTTGCTAACAGTAAACGTCTCTGCCGGGAATCAAACATTGAAGAAAGATTTGCATGATGATAAGCTATTTGTGGATGAAGTAATCAAACCTCCCAAAAATGAATTGCGTCGTGTTGTTAGCGATAAGAGCATTATAAAAGAATCGGTAGAAGCACATGAACATGAACAAATAACAACAACGAAAAATGAAAAACAAAGCGTTACGGTAGAAAAGCAACAAAAGCTGTCACCTGTGCCACAGGCTGAGCCAACGATATCACCTAAAGAGCGTTTTAGTCACGTAGTTGAAGAAACGAAATTCAAAACCAAAGATATCAATATCGATTATGAAGATGATGATTTGCCCGGTTCATATATAACCGGATTCTATATATTTATTGGCCTTAGTATGTGCGCAATGCTCTTTATTGTTGTAAGGGTTTATAGGTAAGTACTTATTTTACTTTATAACAAACCACCCGCCAACATACGTGTTATGTATATGTCTTATATTCGTCCGAAGATTACGTTTATCGAGAGCTGAACGCAGGTATGGTGTACAAGGTGATCGCAGTACGCAGGAGCTGGTACCTCTGCCCGTTTCTATTGAAGATGATAATAGTGAGGACGAAGATCATACTCTATTCGAAGTGAATCGCCAGCAAATTCGAATATTATGAGTATGAAGTACGCCGAAATATTATTCACATAATGGAACAAAAAATTCGTTTGGATACAATCCTATAGACTGCTCTGTTCTGTTAATCAATTTTATTTATTATGTTTTTGAGATCTTTGTATAATAAGTTAGATTTGGGGAGCATATAGTACTCTCCATTTTCCGTGGTATATGATAACTCTCTACTCGAAACAAATTTGTGATACTAATAAAATATTTATGAATGTACATATGTACTTGAAGAAGATCCAGCTATAAGTGGCCCTAAAAGCAAATGCGTTATTTGGTTAGTTAAAGCTTTTAGCTTATACCTACACATTTTTAAATTTTATAACGGGTTTTGTGATTTCCAATATTAAAAAATGTTAAAAAGTATTCCTTTTAAATTGACCACAAATTCCCTTTTTCGTGACGATACACCTAAAATAATATTTCACAAAAGTATAATTGCGCAACATTGGTAGCAACGTATTGCCTTGCCACATCTCATACGTCAGTGATTTGATTATATTTCATGTATAGTCTGCTTTTTCGAATAAATATTTTTTCTTTAAATTCTATTAAAGTCAAGAATATATATAAATTTGTGGAGTATAATTTAAACGTAATATGTAATCAATACCTATAACAATTATTTATTGGTACGAAAAGTAGCGAAAAAGTATGGCAGCTCACAAAAGCATTCCAGTGCATGGAAGCAATTCAGTGCTGTCCCATTTAAGAAAAGCTAAACATTAAAAAATGATAATTTCTATTAGTTAAAGTTGCTAGAAGTGAGCTGTTGTATTTTTAATAACATACATAATTTAAAATTGTTTTATAAGTGTAAGTGATTATAAATAAATAAGAAATATCTATCATATTGTTTTGTTGTTTCATGTAATGAATATGCCCCAAACAAGAATTTACTGTATTTTGATTTCGGTGATCGTGTGTCGTGTGTCATCGTTTTTGGAAGACATAAGAAGTCATTTAATTTTTGTATACAAAGAGAACTATGCGTGAATTATTAACAATACAAATTTGTAAAATATTGAGAATAAATCTACAAAACTAAATTAATAGTGTTAAAGGTAATAAATAAACTCGTAAAATATATAAGAAACGTGCAATGTGAGATTACTCGAGAAAAAATCCATTTTTGTTGGTGCTCGTTTGTGCATGTAAGCTTCGTGTGTATGTATATATCTAGCTGTTTTCATGATTTTCAGTAAATTTTAATAGATTGGCATAAATTGTGAAGTAAGCAAAAGTTTTAGAGGAGAAAATGTGATATTGAGCAATCTAAAAAAAAGTTTATGAAGCCAAGCAACTGCACCGAGGTCACAAAATTGTTGACCCCAGCAAAAGTTGCGAACCTTTTATAAATTAAATAAGAAAAAAATTAAAACCAATTTGATGCGAAGAGTGCTGTTGAAAATCATTTTGTTTCTCTTTCTTATCATATTACTTCCTCATTCCATTCGGAGTTATATGATATGTGTGTGCGCAAGTGAGGAAACTATACTGGTATCAGGTAGCGTTAATTAAATTGGAAAGTTGGAAGGCTGTTGCCATATGTTTTTGTGTACACCACAAAGAAGGAAAATCAATCTTTTTCTGCAAAAATAAAACAGTTTTTAAATGTGTAATAACTTGTAGAGCTAATGAATATAATAAATTATTAATATACATTAATTCGCTACTAATATTTCAAGCCCATCTTAAAAATAATGGTAACAGTTAACAAGATGTATTCCACGTATATATTGAATTTTACGTGCTACGATATATTCTTTCACTACACTTTATTTTTTAAATGCCTGAAACAACAATTGGTTGCATTTTTGTGTTTTAAATAGTATCCTATATTAATTCAGCTAAAAATGCTTAAGCCTACAAGTTTCCCCTAGTTCTTCTTACATGCTACAAAAAACACAAATTTAAACAAAGAGTAGTTTATTGGAAGAATAGGGAAAACGACTTTAACATGGCATTTTCAATGACCTTAAAATACGAACAGTATTTTAAATCACATCACCCAATTTTGATTTAATATAATTTCCTTATATTTTTATGCAGAGATTTTCCATCATAAATTCATTAAAAATAAAGCGTAATAAAGCCCCAAAAAGACAAGTGCACGAGCAACAACCAGCAACGTTAACGTCCCAAACTGCGACTTCTCCACGCAACGCTTCTTGCGCATTTGCACCCGTAGCCAAGAAAATGCAGCGTCCCAATGCGGTAGTGAAGCCAACAAGTCTCGATGATATATGGAATGAATTGGAAGATGGTATTAAGCAAGTGTTTCAACCAGAAAAGTCGAATCTATCGACTGATCGTTATATGCACCTGTACACATTTGTTTATAACTATTGTACAAGCGTGAATACTGTGCAGCGTTCCATGGTCCGTGCAGGTGGCGCACAACTCGTTGGCAAAAAATTATATGACCGTCTAAAGGAGTTCCTTAAAAATTATTTAACTAGATTACAGAAAGCCTTTGAATACATTCAGGGTGAAGAAATTAGGCTGACGCACTACACCAAGCAGTGGGAATCATATCAATTCTCAAGTAAAGTGCTCAACGGTATTTGCAGTTATTTAAATCGACACTGGGTGAAGCGAGAATGCGAGGAGGGTCAAAAAGGTATATATGACGTATATCGGCTTGCATTGGTTACGTGGAAAGAAAATTTATTTGAAAATCTTAATGAATCCGTTACAAATGCAGTATTACGTTCCATTGAAGAAGAACGTAATTCTCAAACTATAAATCGCCACCTCATCAAGAGTGTCATAAATTCTTATGTGGAATTAGGCTTTAATGAAGAAGATACAGATTCGGATAATTCCAAGAAATTATCTGTTTATAGAGAACACTTTGAGAATAAATTCATACTAAAAACTGCTGAGTTTTATAAAAAGGAATCGGAAGTGTATCTGAATAACTCTTCAGTATCTGATTATTTAAAGCACGTTGAAGATCGCCTCGACGAAGAAAGCAAACGAGTGAATCGTGACGAGTTTTCATATTTACATGAGAGTACACATAATATATTGATCAAGACGTGTGAACAGGTATTATTTAATTTGTAAATATTTGTTGTGTATCCATTAATAACAAGTGAATTTTTTTTATTATCATATTTCTGCACAGGCTTTGATTGAGAAGCATTTAGTTAGGTTGCGCGCTGAATTTCAGAAATTTCTTAACGATGATAAGAATGATGACTTGAAACGCATGTACAGTTTAGTAGCACGTAATCCCGAAAATTTAACCGATCTAAAACTATTACTTGGCGAGCACATATTAGAACAAGGTACTGAGGCCATAAAGAAAGCCGGCGCCGAAGCAGCAAACGATCCGAAGTTGTATGTCCAAACCATATTAGAAGTACATAAGAAATACCATGGTCTCGTAGTGATGGCCTTCAACAATGATAATGGTTTTGTGGCTGCACTGGACAAGGCATGTGAGAAATTTATCAATTTAAATGAAGTGACACAGGTGAATAGCGCCAATAAATCGCCGGAATTGCTTGCCAAATACTGCGATTTATTGCTGAAGAAATCTTCAAAGAATCCCGAAGATAAAGAGCTCGAGGACAATTTGAATCAAGTTATGGTTGTTTTCAAATATATTGAAGACAAGGACGTTTTCCAAAAGTTCTACTCAAAAATGCTTGCCAAACGTTTAGTGTATCACACATCGGCTTCAGATGATGCGGAGGCGATAATGATTTCGAAATTGAAACAAACATGTGGTTACGAATACACAATCAAATTGCAACGCATGTTCCAAGATATTGGTCTCTCCAAGGATTTGAATGCCAGCTTCAAGCAGCATTTGGTGAATGCAAGAATACCACAAGAAATTGATTTCAGCATTGAAGTATTGTCATCCGGTTCATGGCCATTTAATCAGAGTACCACATTTTTGTTGCCCTCCGAATTGGAACGTTCCGTACAGCAGTTCAATGAATTCTATGCAAATCGGCATTCTGGTCGCAAACTGAATTGGTTATATAATCTGTGCAAAGGTGATTTGGTGACCAATTGTTTCCGCAATCGGTATACATTGCAAGCAAGCACGTTTCAAATGGCTGTACTGCTGCAGTTCAACGATCAAACTAAATTCACTCTACAACAATTGCAGGAAAATACGCAAATTAGCTTAGAAAATCTAAAACAGGTAATATTTTCAAATTTCACTTGTTCCACCACATCACATTACAATATACATGTATATATATATATATATATATTTAACAGGTGCTGCAGATTTTGATGAAAGCCAAACTGCTTGTGTGTGCGGACGATGAGAATTCACTCAATCCCAATTCTGTGATGGAGCTATTCTTGGATTATAAAAACAAGAAGCTTCGCATTAACATCAATCAACCGCTAAAGACTGAGCTCAAAGTGGAGCAAGAAGCCGTACATAAACATATTGAAGAGGATCGCAAATTGCTCATACAGGCAGCCATTGTGCGCATCATGAAGATGCGTAAGAAGCTTAATCATACCCAGCTAATTACAGAAGTTCTCAATCAGTTGGCGTCCCGCTTCAAACCTAAGGTGCAAGTGATCAAAAAATGCATTGATATTCTAATCGAAAAGGAGTATCTAGAGCGTATGGAAGGACAAAAGGATACTTATAGTTATTTGGCTTAAATGTTTTACTCAAATCACTGAAATCAGTGCGTATACTCAATCAGCAGTTGCACAGAAACAACTCGTGCAGGGGCGTTGAGAATGATTTCATATTTTAAATTTTTAATTTTTTTTTTTGTTAAATTAGCATTTTAACCAATTTCAAACTTCACGCAACGCATGTTACATTCAAAAATAAATACGAATAAGTTAACTAATTGAACGCATGACATTTGCAATTATTGAAAAAACAATAATTCTATTTTGATTTTTCAATATTATTCCAAAAAATAAAAATCACGCTCATGTCATTCAGTTTATTTTGAAGCATTATATCTTTTTGGGCTTTCTATTTGTTTTTAATCATAACATCCATTGGATATGTAATGCAAATAATAAAATATAAAAAATTAGCAATTTCGAATTCAATTTATTGTATAGGGTGATCAGAAATTTTATTGACGTCGTCGCTTTCTGTTTTTCGCTGCCGTTAAAAGCCTGTTCTGCATACCAGGTGAACATAACTGCATAGTAGGATGATACGAAATGTACAAATTTTTACTTCCAACAAATCTGCTTGTAGAGGGTTGAGGGAAATGTTAATGCATGATCGATGCAATGCTGCCTGTTTTTCATGATCACCTGCTACGCAACTGGGTGAATTTATGTTACCAAAAAAATAACTCTGACTCGAGAAGGGGAGGTTCATTTCGCAAAAAGCTCTAAGAAAATTTGTACTGAATACCAGGTGTTAATAATTGAATAATAGGACGACGAAAATTATTTATACTATATGTACATACTTCCAGGAATTTACTTCCAATGAATGTGCGAACAGAATGGAGGAGGGCAAGCATTGATTTAATGTTAGCAAACGCTTGACTAGTAAATATAGGATATCTTCCTACAATTCATGATCACCTGCGCCACAGTAACATCATCTCGGCAGCAACCCACTGTTTGAGCTAAGAAATCGTAGAAAAATGTATTGAATATCAGGCGAACATAAAAATAGCAGGCTAACAAAAATTTGCCCAATATGCACTTCCATGAATTTATTTCCAACGATCGATCATAAGGCGTAGCATAATAAGGACAAAAAGAATAGAATCAGTGTTGGTATACGCTTTAATCGACTAGAATGCCAGAATCGAATTCTATAATAAAAAATTTAATTCATAATTGTTGCACAATTTCTAATTTTTTACTTAGAAGTAAATTGCAATAAAATAAATTACGATTTCCAAATATAACTCACCACAACGCGAATATTTAGTAATATATTATATATAAAAAATTCTGAGGTTTGTTTTTTATTTATTTATTTTTATTTTTATTTTATTTCTTTTATTTTACAATTTTTATTACTTTAAATATATTTTATATCTAGATAATACATATGTATTCTTCTCGAATCAACAGATCAGTTTAGTTGTGAGTATTATTTTATTAGAAATACACAACCTAATGTCTTTTTGTAAGAAAGATTTATACATATATGAAACATTTTAAAGTGCATAATTGGTAGGCTAACGGCACTATTCGTTTGAGCAAATCTGTTGCAATTTTTTTAACGCAAAAAAAAAAATTCAAAGATGTAAAATCCATAATGGCGCGTTCACACAAATACTGTCCCAAGCAACCGCGGATCTTGAATGTCTGTATCGGGCAGGATTCTCCTTGCAGCCTTGAAGCACCATCATTTCAGTATTGAAACACAGTACCTACATGTACTATCACTCTAAATAGCTAAATAAAACAAAGACCCTTTAATAATATATGATTTTGGTCGACAAACCGTCGAAGCTGGCTAAGAGTTTTTTATGCTAAAAATATAATTGTTTTTTTTTTTCGTTTTCATTAAAAAAATAAGTTTTGTAGAAATCGCAAGGATTAAGTAACTTAATTACATAAATTTTAAACATATGCTTTATATACAAACACTTTCATGAAGCACTGTGCAGAGTACTAATGTTTACATCCGTAACTGTAATTTTTTTTTTTTTGTCATGTCATATGGTTTCTGCTTGAAAGTACTAAATTTAAATATACATTTGTAAATATATACATATGTATTTTTATTAAATTTAAATAGAATTGTTAAATAATAACACGTAGGAAATTCACAGACTCCAATAAACATAAAAAAGTGTATGTATAATAGAAAATATAAAATATTGCTCAAAATGGAAAATTTTGTAAGGTCATCGACTATAGCGAAAATTACTGCCAAGACTAGACTGTGAACAACCTTTTAGAAATAAATTCTATTTTGCCTGCAATTGCAGATTTGTTTAACAAATGGAAAGGGAATTGATAATAACACATAAACGTAATATTAATTAGTGTTAATTCTAAATAAATGTCAGCAGTTTCATATAAGACTACATAAAAAAACATAAAATATATCAAAAAGCGCGAATAATGTAGTGGCTTTTGTAGGATTCCTAGCATTTTTACCGTTAAAAATGCGCTTTTTTGTTAGAACTGCTGACATATACATATATGTATTTACTAATCTAATCGAGGTGACGACAGTCTCATGGCATAGCAAATCATTCATTTATACATATAAGTATATAAAATAAGTAATCAAAGTAATATTAAATAAAATAAAAATATAACGCGAGACTATTCCTCATCATCAAGCTTTATAGTTTTCGTTTGAAAACGCATTCTTTTGGTATTTTTGATTATGCCATTGGTTAGCAGATTCTTACCTTCCTTTTCGCATGGTATGTTATTCCAAAGTTTTTTAAAGCGCATCACTGCTATGGCATTAATGTCTAGATTTTTGCTGCTTGCGCTATCTATTTTCGTTAATATAATTTTCGGCACTTTGGCAAAGCACGCATTGGTGGTGGCGTCTTCTGGCACAGCAAGTGAGGTACAACCACGCTTTTGATTGGAATCCTTAGCTTTTGACGTCGAACATTGTGATGCTACCGACTCCATTGATTCAGACTGTCTTCTGCATATAGTAAAACAATACGTTTCTTACATCAAAAACAAACAACAAAAAAATGTATATATATATCAAATGCAAAATCTTCTACCTACCTCTTAGAATAGTAATATTTGTTGATTGTGGGTGGAGGCGCAGCGCAAATTTTCCCAGGTTCTTCTGGATGGCAACCATAGTCGATACCTTTTAGCCAGTTTTCATAACGTTCTGGTTGGAAACGCTGCACAAATGTTTCCATTGATATTTTCACCATATCCTTTCGGCAATTACAAATGCTGGCGCGCTTGCCATATTCAATCCATCGCTTAGAACCGAAATTAGTTGACTCTGCACCATTAAAACCATGATTGAAACCAGCATGATAGCCGAAAGGAAATGTTATCATAATTTCTCCAGCTTCTTGGGTAATTTTATTAAACGGTATTTTATTCTGTCGCAATACTTGTGGGCTTATCAGTGTCATTTTGTGACGCAGAAATGCGTTGCAATTTTGATAGTTTTCATAGAAAAGTCGATTCGCCAACTTTTCTAATCTCCGACCATATGCGGGTGGTATTGCATACCAAGTCTTTGGTGCACCAAAGTGCAGGTAATTTATTGAATATAAATCCATATCTTCCGTATGCCAGGCAAAAGAGCTCTTCCACATACCAAAATACAGATACGCTGTATTTACACCATCAATTTCAATGCCGTAATCCTTATTCACGTAATTCAGTATTGTGTCTAAACAATTTATATTCCAAATTCGCAAATCCGGATCACTTAAGGAACCTTTTACATCAGCCGCATAAAATGGTGCAATATATGTTACATTTTTCCAATATTTTCGTTCTAAATCGTCGTAGTCAAAATGTCGTGGCGTTTGATAACGTTCCGACTCGGCCATTTCTTTAAATTGTCGCAAAGTCATAGAACGTTTCTGGACATTGATTTGCTGATATTCACCTTGCTTTCCTGTAAAATTGACGAGTGCAGAAATGAAAAGTCAAGTTGCAATTTTTCTCTGTATTTTTTAGTTACCTGACACTACTTGACAAATTGGTGCGGGTATTGTCATATTTATATTGTCTATATTATAACCGGATTTCCGTGGCACCCATTCTGGTGGTGGTATAATCTTCGTTAGTCCTGCTAAGTTTGCACCACGACTTTCCATGTATTCGACATAACTCGAGAAATTCTTGAATTCCTCGTAGCTGGGACGGAACGTCATGATCCTTGGTATTTTATTACGCTCATTTTCAGTGCAGCCCGAATTAAGGGACATTGTGTGACAACACAATCAAATTTTCTTCTTTCAAATTTTATATTTATAATATTTGAAAAGCTATAACATTTACTATGCACAACAAGTAATAGATGTATGTTTATAAATGGGCTTAATGTTTTTTAAATTTCCTAGAAAATTTGTAATGCAGAAAATGCATTGCCAGCTGTTATACACAGAGTTGCAATTAATGTTACTCAATCAACGCTATGATAATATAGAACCTTTATAGCAAATTATCAAAATTCTGCATATGGTTTATATAAAGGCATTTATTTACTACTTTTATAAATATCATTTATATTTGTTATATTTAGCTCAAAAAATTACAACTGATAAAATAGTTAAATAATTATTATTAACTCATTCATACCATTAATTAATGAAAGGAAGTAACATCTCTGGTATTGTTTTAAAAGTCAATTTGAGTAAAATACTCATACTAATTGAGTTGACTAAGAAGCTTTTAAGCCACCTCCGAACATCTAAAAGATTTTCAAAATCAAAAATGATGAAATGTTCTAAACTGTTTTTTGATTGAATTGACAATTACTCTATAAATATTGCTATAGTAACTACGAAATTCCTTCTTTAGAGATAGGCGGTGTTTTGCTCGCAGGACTTAGATATCGTTGTTTAGGCAGAGAACGTAGAAGAACACCTTTGCACCTTCTCATACTTTTACGTTCTCTGTTTAGGAATATCAAGTGTTGGAACGGGAGACTTCAGCGAAAACAATCCATACTTTTTTTCGGTGATTCATGTGTAGAAGACGTCAAGAGGAGTCCTGCTACTGTTCGAAGTGTAATAGGTATTCACATCATGATTTTAATATGGTCACAGTGAACATAAAAATTGCCTTGAAATTTGTGAATAACATGGCAAAGTGTTTTTAATCGAGATGCTTTTGAATACAGGGGTTTACCGTTGAAATCGTCGAGCGCAAAATTGCTTATTCAAACTTACGACTAAATAAACAACTTTTTGGCATACTTATGACAATAAAATTTTATCTTTTGAACGTGCTGCTTAGGCGCTTATGGAGTTTTTCATAATAATTGAAGGCCGACAAATTTTGAAATAATAAAAAAAATTGGTTTCATGTTTGTTTTTATACTCTCGCAACTTGTTACTACAGAGTATAATAGTTTTGTTCACCTAACGGTTGTTTGCATCACCTAAAACTAATCGAGTTAGATATAGAGTTATATATATATATAAGTGATCAAGATGATCAGCTGTAACTTGAGTAAAAATTGAGATATCTTTCTTTGTACCGTTTCTTTGTACCGTAAGTAGTTGGTATTGCAGATGGGCGTAATCGGACCACTGTCACGCCCACAAAACGACATTAATCAAAAACAAAGAAATTGCCATAACTAAGCTCCTCAACAAGATACAAGACTGTTATTTGGTATACAGGATCACATTAGCATCTGCAGTTAAAAAATTTTTTTTAAAGTGGGCGTGGTCCCGCCACCTTATAAGTTTAATGTGCATATCTCCTAAACTGCTAATGCTATAATAACCAAATTCACTAAGAACAAATGTTTTTAGCACCTCTATCGGTGTGAAAATGAGTGAAATCGGGTGGCAACTTCGCCCACTCCCCATATAACAGTACTGTTAAAAACTACTAAAAGCGCGATAAATCAAGCACTAAACAAGCCAGAGACAGTAAATTTTATCTCTGGGATGGTATAAGATGATTTGATAGGAACCACGTTCAAAATTAGAAAGTGGACGTGGCATCGCCAACTTTTAGGTGAAAACCCATATCTTGGAATCTGCTTAACCGATTTCAAACAAATTCGGTAATAATAATATTCTTCTCATATTTCTATGTTATAGTACGAAAATGGGCGAAATCGGATTACAACCACGCCTATTTCCCATATAACATCATTTTAAATTCCATCTGATTTTTTCACTTTCCACTATGGAAATCAGGCAACTATGACTGTATCGGGATAAAACTTACTAACTTAAAGTATGCCTTGTGCCCAAAAATTATCTAAATTGAATCAACACTGTTCAAGCCCCAAGGTACTGAATATGTCGACCCCAGTGACTATACAAGTAGTTGACTTTTTACCGAAAATATCGGTCAACATAAAACAAGGTGGCAAGATCCACAAAGAAATCTAAAACGAGTATACCATTTGACTTTGCGAGAGTATAAAATGTTCGGTTACATCCGAAATTAGCCTTCCTTACTTGTTTAATATGCATTTGTAGTTGCACATCATTTCAATATAAAAAGGCCATATGGGAAGACTTCTATGTTTTCCACTAAACCACATTAATTAAAAACAAGAAAAAACGTTAACTTGAGTTGCACTGAAACTATAATACCTTTCTCAAATACAAAAGATTTCATACCAGAACTTAATTTGGATTGGTCAGTTTGTATGGCAGCTATATGCTATAGTGGTCCGATCAGAACATTATCTTCTGAGATTGTACTGTACCAGTTTCCATACAAGAACTTGACTTTGATCGTTCAACAAATTTCGTTTCCGTTCTGACAAATAAGCAGCTTCTTCACAAGAAAAGGTCATGTGCAAAACTCGTTCAGTTCAATAGCTCAAAAACTGAGGGACTACTTCGCGTATATACAGACGGATATGGCTAAATCCACTCAGCTTATCCCGCTGTTCATTTGTATACCTATTTAATAGGGTTTCCTTCCTTTTGGGTGGGCCAATTTAGGATATAAAAGGATCTTGGAAAGCAGACGGATACAATCAAAAGCAAGGAAATTAGATGCCATATGAATTGAAGACAAGAGACGTTTAAAGTCGAGAAAGAGACGACATGACAGAAATGCCGCTTCAAAGCTACAAAAAAGTCGGTGAACAACTCATCAACCTGGATTTTACGACTAGATACAAGGCAATAATTTTCTATAATGGCAACGATCGGCCTCAGTAAAAATTAAAAATTTGCTTGATTCATAATTCTCAAATTGCTAAAAAGATGGAAAAATATTATAGTTTAGATGGACAATACTTTGAACAATACTTTTGTACATGTTTTTCTTAAATAAACGTGCAAACATTGAAAAATAAAACCAAACCGAACGAATGTAGTTATAGACCTAATATAGGTATAGTTACAGTTATGTTTTTCAGCAAACCTCGTACGTCAAACCTGCGACTAAATTTGGAGCATGTGGAGGCTAATACTAAAATCGATCTGCCATTTGGCCATTTGGCAGGCCCACATTTAGCCTCGGCTAAACATCTAACGACAGAAGTGTCAATTATATATTCATAAAACATTTTTAGGTGAATAACCACTTCCGTTTTGTGAGAGTCAACGCAATCTGGTTATATGATTGCAACGATCACCTTTAAAATATGACAAAGTTGTAATTTAATCACTCCGTTTTGATATGCTTAAGATAAACAAACGAGTAATGCATGTGCACATGTACCTATGTACCGATCTATCTACAGACCTGTTATCGTTATAAAATAAGTCAAGTGCACGGTTAGGGTTTTAGTCGCTCATTGGCGCCCTCCACAGATGTGGTGAGTTTGAAATTTGCTCCCGAAGTATTATATATATGTATATGCAGATGAATAACTGTGTTTAGTCGCGTCGAAATTTATTTTAGCGTGAGTTTGAAGTATTTAAAGCCACGGTGATAAAATACAATTAAGTAATAAACTATTATATAGTGGCAAATATAGACAGTGTGTGCATTAACCGCATAAAAATAACCAAAGCAAAGATAATGGGCTTTAAAAAATCCATGAATGTGCAGGAATCCCTGGCTGAGAATGAAAAACGTAAGAATTTTACTTACACATTTAAAATAATAAAACCAATTTAATAAAAAAAAAAAATACATACTATATACATAGGTATTAACAGCTATAAATTAAAAATGTGCAAATACGAGTTTTTATGTTTGTATAAAGTGTATATGAATACCAGAATTGAAGTACATATAAAAGTGTTCATTAGAGAATTTTATACAATTGCGTGATAGCCATTAAAATTCTTCAACTAGATAAAGTCGTTATTTTCTTTTAAAAAGCTTTTTATTGGTCACAGGGAAGAAGAAAATATTGAAAACATTAGAAGGATATAGCAAATATTTGCCATATTACTAAATAATATGAAAATAACGGTACAGATAACGGTATACAACAAATTTATTCATCATTTGTACAATTCAATAGTACTCAAACTAGGACTGAGGCTTAAGCAGCAATTTTTGCATTAGTAACAACAAGACAGTATGTTAACCTCGACCGCACCGAAGCTATAATACCATTCCCAGGTGCTTTTCTTATAGCATGAAAAGGTATAAAAAGATCTTTACCTTGATTTTAAGCGGTCAGTTTCTTTGGCAGCTATGTATATGCTATAATGGTCCGGACTGAACTATTTGTTCGGAGATTGTAACGACCTGGATATGGGTTAATGCGTCAGATATTTCATATAGATGAATATGTCGTAATATAAAGGACCAATCAGGTAATTCCGAAATTACAGTTTTTTTATTTCTTATAGATTGATCTTGTTTTCAAAAATTGCGAAATAATTAAAAAAAAAAAATAATTGTTAAAACTTGAAATTAGCAAGTTCGATATGGTGTTTTCATCAACAGCGGCAGCTCTTTCACGCTGTAGACCCGCGACAGAAACTCAATATCTCCGCAAAACAATATAAATTTACGAATATGCACCAACAAGGTTCAATTGAAAAAACTCAACGCTTAGTTTCGTTTCATTTATCAGTTTGGGTCTTAGTGCAGATCGAAATCACGCATGTGGGATTTTCGAATTCCTTTAAAAAAAAATCCTGTAGGAAATGTCATTTCGAAAAACGAGGTACACCGAAGTCATAAAAAAAGATTTGATCAATTTCTGGCATTAAAAAGATGCTACTGAATGTCAGTCAACCGCGTTATCAGTCTCTTGAGCGATATCAATTGGCTATCTTGGATCTACTCAAAGACTTTGGAAAAGAAAATGTCAGTTGTGCCAGTGAGAGGCTGATCAAGTAGTAAGCAGTAGAAAAAATACGATGATATAGAAGAGAATCATAAAAATAACGAAAAAAATATATGACTATAATAACCATTTTCGAGATAGAAAAATTCCGCATTAACTGTTTGCAATTGATTTAAAAAAAAACTACAGACAATAAATAAATAGTTTTAAGTTTATTACAAGTGCAATTTGAATAACTTAATTAGATAGAGAAGTGGTATAAAGCATGATGTAATGATACTATGAGGACTAGCGAGTTTGTATATAATAAAAATAAGAATGAATTGTGTTTGATATATTCTAAATCAACTATATACTATAAGTGTTTACAAGTATACAATTTAATTATATATTCACGTGCGTTTTAGTTTATTTTATTATACATATATGTAAATATATTGGCCAAGTTGAGATTCTTATCTAATTCAAAAAAAAATGTTGGTTTCAAGTAAAGACCCACGAACGTACTTTGATAGCCACCTATTATGGGAGTGTGAGTCTAATTATAAATATTTTTTTTTTTTAATTTTTTTCATATCAATCTATGCCAAATTTCGTGATGTTATCTTGTCAAATAAAAAAGTTATACCTTCAAGAACTTGATTTGGATCGGTCAGATTGTATGGGTATCAGCGATAATGACTAGAAATATTAATGGTGTGGTATTAAAAATTATAAATATATATATATGTATATATATTTTTAATTTAATTTAAATATATATATATGTATATATATTTTTAATTTTTTTCATATAAAAATGTATTATCAGAGGTGCCCTTTAGTAACCACTTGAAAAAATTTCAAAATGTCTAGTAATACTTTTAGCCTTAATAATAAAACAAAGAAAAAACAAGACTAATTTGCTTTTTGATTACTCTCATGAAAATATTCCAAACCTTATCGATTGCGATCAAATTTAAAAATGCCGTTATATTGTTAACGTCGTTTTGACGACATTAGATTGTGATGTAGGTAATTAAGTTTTAATTTATTATTATAATTATACTTTAATTTTGATTTGCTGCATATCAGGCGTAAGGCATGCTCGGTAACTGTTCAATGCCATTTTCGACTCTTGATGAAGAGTTCATGAAATGGCGGTTACTTATACGCTACGTAATACCGATGAAAAATGTTTTTACACACGCGACATGTAGTCGCTAAATATAATATATAAATTTTTTACCTAATAGTTTTAGCAAAACTTTAAAATATTCCAGATATTGCAACAAATATATGGTATAAATATCTCACGGTATCTGCAAAACTACTTTACAACAGCAAATTTGAAATGTCTTACACACGGAGCGATATATTCATTACATAGCAAGCCAAAGGGACAGAAATCAACGTATTATTTAATATACAGTGTCTGGCAGAATATGTGAAGCGATTTCATCCATTTTTGGTACCAAATGAAAGCAATATTATCAATATATCTGGTAGTATAACCGATAAACACCGTATATATTCGTTTGGAGCAATGTTAACCAATATATTCGGCACTTGAAAGGGAAGGTCGGTGCTTATAGATATTAGGCAAAGCGAAATATGTAAACTCATAAAATATTTTTGAGTTATCCCACATATTGGACCCCGTATGATATAAAGCTACCTGGAGGGGCAAGAATTCTTTTATGTACTATTCAGGTCCCAGTAGACGGTATGGACCGATTGCAATTTTGAAAACTGATTATTGCGATATCTTTGTTGTTTTCTGAAATATTTTTTGTATAGAAAAATTTAGCTGATGACATTTAAAACACCCTCATATTGGAAGTGGGCTTACTTGTAGTAAGTTATTACCGGTTTTCGAAAAAAAAAAGTAATTGGAAGTGCTGTAAATCAGATAGCATGAAATATTCAAAAACAGTGTTCCCACTAATCATACCCTGAACAGGGTATATTAAGTTTGTCACGAAGTTCGTATAATTAATGACCGTGACGAGCTGAGTCGATTTAGCCATGTTCGTCTGTCCGTCCGTCCGTCTGTACGTATGCAAACTAGTCCCTCAGTTTTTGAGGTATCGACAAGAAATTTTGCGCACGTCCTTTTCTCCCCAAGACGCTGTTCATTTGTCGGAACCACCGATATCAGATATTTCGGAACTATAGCATATATTGGAATCAAGTACTTGTATAGAAATCTTTGTCATTTGACAAGATATCTGCAAGAAATTTGAATCTCGGAAGAAATTGTTTAGATCGTGGTGCATATAACTGTCATACAAACTGACCGATCCAAATTAAAATAAAGATTTTATACTCGTTTATGCTATAAAAAAAATACACCTGTGAAGGGTATTATAGCTTCGGTGCAACCGATTTTATTGAAATAGCTTTAGTAGTTTGTAATATAGTATGTATATACATTTCACCTCTAAAAGAGTGGGGTAAGGCGGTGCCTTACATATTACATATTGACTATGACATCTAAAATATGTCTCATAGTCCACTGAGATATCTACAATTGTTGGCATTGCAAATAGAGTGAATTAGACGGTTATCACGTCGTTAAAAATTTTGCATAGAATATCTGAATGAGGTAGGTCAGATTATTTGTTTTAAGTGAGCACTCTAATGGGCTTATACATATATCACAAAAACGATTAATCACCCTAAAGTATCGCAGCAAAAGTGAACATAAAAAAATCGAAGAGTAATCTCACCCACTTCACATTAACCAATATTGTTCAAAACTAAAGAAAGTGAAACTCTCTCATAACGTCATAGAAGTAAAATTATGGGGTTAATTTGCCAGGTATAAACACGGGAGCATTGTTATATAAGCGTCGCTAACTAGTTGAATGATTTCGAATCAATTTGACACATTATATGCCCTCTTTTTTGGATTTGAAAATGGGCAAACTCGTACTGAAACCACTAAAACTCGCCGTATGATTCAAAAATTCCATAAATCTGATAATAACGGAATTTAAAACGTGTGGTTTTCAATGAGGCAATCATTTTTCGGAGTTGATATTTTTGACAGCTATTACTTGATTTGTGGTTTGCCTTTTTATAACAATCAGATTTACTCCCGAACAACGTTTGCAAATCGTGTAAATTTATTACCAAAATAATGGTTCGGTTCACGCGACGAATCGTGAATTTGGTTCAACTTAAAGCATCTTTGGTTGAAAAGTGGTTTATAAACAGAATTGTCGCTTTGGATTTTGTGATAATCGACAACCATTTTTGTTGTGCTCTATGGGCAGGAAAGCATTGGTCTATATTTCTTCTAAAATAAAGCCGGTCATCCTGATTCAATGAGGAACGCTATAGAGCCATGGTTCAACAAGACGTCTACATGCTATACACCAACGAAACAATAAATTGAAAACTTTTGGTGAGCCCATTATCTCTCGTCGTGGGTCTATGGAGTGAACACCAAGATCGTGCTATTTTCTTGCTAAATTATTGGCCATAACATTAAATTATAATGCATGCGTTTTATATTTTCTTGAAAACCACATGTCTAAAACAAAAAAAAAACACCCTTTACCTTCACCTACCTCCCTAACTGATTTACGTCGATCAGGAAACTAAACTTTCTCAACCTAACTTTCTCAGAATTCATAAATTTTTAAAATTATTACGAATCCTCATTTCATCATTATCAGCTGGAATTCCACTTCAAAAACTTCACGAGACCAGGGTTTGAATCTAGTTTTTCAAGGAACTCAGCTGTGGGTTTGATGACTCCAGCAAACGTTGTCGCCATACAAAGATCTTAATTAAAACTGTTACAATTATTTATATTAACGCGTTCAAGAACAATTTCAACTCCCTCAATATATACGAATTCCCTTTAGTGAGTAGCGACACGTGTATGCCTACACACACAGATTTAATAATTACCGTAATATAGAAATGAGGAAATGTGCAATGAGTCTGCGATGAGTAAAGTTATAAAACTTACAAACACACTAGTCTGCTAAGCTGAAGTCGCAGATGAGTGATGCACCAATGTCATTGACCTTGATAGTATTTATTAAAAAATGAATTATTGCAGTTTCGATTTTACACTCACTAATGAAGTAATCACTGTTATCAATTGAGACATAATTAAGGACATATTACTTTGGTAATCTCAGCTATAAAAAAAAGCACTGAAATAAGCGTGCAGTTAAACAAACATATGTACATATAGATACATAATTTATATAGAAACACATATGTAAGTAAGTGTGTAAACAGATGTGTCAATTAGCGATAATTTAACAATTAATCTTTTATTGTTCCAGTACAATGTATACCCAAAGTATATAGACATAGATATATGTATATAGTACAGTGGTTCAAAACTTTACTGATCACTGCGTTATATGGGAGAGTTAGCAGTTAACTTTCACTATGTTTCGAGTAGACGGGGTTTAGATGCAGCCGGGGTCAGCCTATTTTATAAAAACTCTTCAGTAAATTAGTTATGTATACAAACAGTACGTGTGTAGTACTCAAGTATCACACAGGCTGAAAAGTTCCCATCGTTTCTAAGAGGAGGCTCCACTGATGTGCGTTGCGTATCTAGATACACCAATTTTGACCCGGACTTTCAAAATAACTAAATTTTCACGTATTTTAAGCTTAATTTTCGTCTTCAAAATAGGATCCTGAGCCAACACTTGTATGATAACATTTGATCTAATTTTCCATACACTTCTTACAAACCTTCTTGGTCTTCAGTGCCTTCAGCGAATTTTGGATTTTTCGGTTTCGGCTCATTTTTGGGGCGTCATTCGATAGATTGTTGGACAGTTTTGACGTCATATTCATAAACCCACATCTCATCACCAATAATGATGCGTTTGATGAATGTAATTTTCGATGACTTCACGACCTTTAGTGAATGTTTTGTGACATACAAATTCTTGCGTTCATGACTCCCCAAAATAATTAGGCAACAGTTTTCAACGATTCCGTAGCCGGTTAGCCTATAAAACAAAACGAAAATTTTTGGCAAAATGCTCAACGTAGATTTCTTTTAGCTCAATACTACACTTGATTCTTCGATGCCCCACTTTTTTAACCCGTCTCAAAATACGTTTTTTGGTTGCTTGTAAAGTAGATATCAGGCCAAACCTGAAGAATATAGTAGAATCGGCAGCAAATCCTAGACTAATTCAGTCAACGTGGTGATAGCGAAGATGTTAGCTGGTGCTTTGTTATAATGGAAAAGCAAATAGTTCTGGTAAACCGATATATTTGTTGTGAACTCCACATAACGGTGTCCATGATATGCGGCCTTTTTAGATGCTTACTACCCCACTTCGCTATATCACGCATTTTCAATCGGAGGTCTGTCAAAATACGATAATGGACCCTTGTCAAGATATCATCCATGGTAGCCGTTTTCTTACCTAGAATGGCTCATCGAAAACCGGCGTGCTACCGTTAAAGGGAAAAAATCACCGTATATAGCATCCAATCCCTCCTTAGCTACACTACACCGCTTCCCCACTCAGTTTTTTTTTGGCGTTTTGGTTTTTGGTAGCGTTTGATAATCACACATTCTCTATCATTCTGGGGAATTATGCTATACCTCAGCGGTTGTTTAACAAGTTTTCCTTGAGAAGGTCTATTCATCATTGTTGAAAAGTTGAAACCCAGATTAGCCACGCGAATGAAATGTTTTTTTAAATATTTATAACTCTTTGTGTGTTATCGATAGCGTAAACGATGGCGGGGTGAAAGAGTAAAAGTAATCTGGCAGGGATTTCACACCTGTTATTAATTTAATTATTTTTATCACAATTTACATACTAGCTTCAAGTAATACTTGTAAAGTGACTAACTTATATTGAAACAACTGTAAGTATATAGGTGTAGTGGGTACGCTGCGCCATGTAATCTTTAGTATTTTCAATTCCATGAAATTGAAAACAAACTATTTAGCACATAAACATTGCAATTAACGCACTTTATCTCTAATATATGTACGATTAATTCTGTAAAATTAAAAGTGGAAACCTTGTGCAATCAATAAAAACGGAAAATGAAATTGATCGACGTCAGATGACAGACGACAACAGGATCGAGCTCAGCTGCGATCGTTAATTAATAGAAATTATTGTGCTTTTAAACATCCAACAAACATACATACACACACAAACGATCTTGCGAATAAACGACGAGTTTAATCGAAATAAATTTGTAAAACGCAAACTTTTCCGCAAGAACAATGGTTTATATCCTCGTCACCGAGCACACGCCGTTGCTACTCAAAAGCGGCTTTGTGCGCTTAAAGGGAAATATAAAGCTTCGCCGAAAGAAAGATTGTTAGCAAATAGATATTTTAAGATATGTCTTAAGTTTAACGCATTAAAACTACAAAAAAAAAATTATTTTTATTTGCAGCGAATGCGTTCGGCGTTCGCCATGTGCAGGCGTTGCTGTTGTTCTTCGGCATGGCTTTCGGTTACTTTCTGCGTGTTAATATTTCCGCTGCCATTGTGCCAATGACGAAGCCTCGAACCGCAGGCGACGCATACTATGACTGGGATCCCTCGACCAAATCGTTAATACTGAGTAGCTTCTTTTGGGGTTATGTGGTGGCGCAAGTACCAGCGGGCCTACTGGCCAAACGTTTCGGTGGCAAACTAGTACTTGGCATAGCCACAGTGCTGGCTTCGATTATAACAATGTTACACCCTTGGGCAGCATCTGGCGGCAGTTGGCAAATAATATGCTTTCTACGCGTATTAATTGGACTGACGCAAGGCGTTCTCTATCCGTCGGTACATACATTGTTGGCCAAGTGGGCGCCACGTACGGAGCGTAGCTTTTTGGCTACTTCAGTGTATTCAGGTGCACAATTTGGCACAGTGATTATTTTGGCTACAAGCGGTTTTATTTTTGATTCCAGCATGGGTTGGCCGGGTATATTTTATATTTCCGGTGCTGTGGCGTTGGCCTGGTCGATTTTGTTTTTAGTTTTTGGTGCGGATTCGCCAAACCGCTCAAAGGTGATATCCACACAGGAGCTTGAATATATTGAACGTCTTACGGGCAGCGGTTCGGAGAGTACGGTGAGTTAAAAACTTTGATTGATTTTTTAAAATTTGCTTAACTTTTGTGAGAGATAAAAATTAAAAATTACTAATAACAAATAACAAAGGAATAACATTGGTCATCGTGTAGTGTATTCCCGTTGACGGATACTGTCAAAATTTTAGACGAATTGGACTCTTCGCAGATTATTCGCAAATTTTAGAAAATTGAAAAATAAGCAAAATCGGTCGGTGATTCGATTTTTGTTCTTAAAAAAAAATATTGTAGTGAAATCGGTAACTTCGAAAGCGACCGTCAAATTTGTTTAGTGAGTCTGGTTGCGCGTCGGTTTTTGATGAGCTGCTACAACGGTACAAAAGTCCACGATCTCGTATTGGCAGACCATCACTTGAAATTGGGCGAAATACCTGAGACAATAGGCATGTCAAAAGATCACATGGGTTATATACCATTAAATTGTCGACATTAGAAAACTATCATCGCAATGAATGCAGCGTTTACTCACTCCGGCAACAGATGCAACTGTGAGACCACTTTGCAGCAGTGTTTGACTCTGTTTAAATTCAATCTGAAAGAATTTATGCCCCATTTTGAGATAGTCGCCGAAATATGGATGCACTGGTACACACCAGAGATTAAGGAACAGTCGAAAAAGTGGAATTTATAGGCGAGACTGCTTCGAAGAAACCGAATACCGCCTTATCAGCCGGAAAAGTTATAATTTCAAAATTATGATTCACGGCCAGTTATAAAATTCAAAAAAAAAAACTTTAACCGTTAATATATTTTAAACGGTTAGGTTTACGAACAAATCATAATAGACCTTATTAAAGATCATTTTATTTCTTACCAAATCTACAAAGCGAAATATTTTTTCAAATACTTGTAGTTGCATGCGATATATGAATTTTTCTATCTGATAATAAGATTAGAAAACTGTAAGATGGAGGACCTTCCCGATGCAATTAAGAGCTCATACTTGGAGAGACATTCTTAGAGATGTCTATCAACCAATTTTTCTGAGTACCAAGCGAAAAAAAACATTCGATATTTTGACCCACTCTAATATACATATATATTTTGTACAATACATATATAATTATTGATTGTTATCATTTTTTTTTTCATTTCTCTAGTCTATGCCAGTACCGTGGAAGTCTTTATTCACATCAGCTCCATTTTATGGCCTTATCGCAGCTCAAACAGGTTTCACTTGGGGCTTTTACACACTCCTTACTGAAATACCCACCTATATGGATTCAGTACTTAAGTTAAATGTCGCTTCGAATGCGTTGTTATCGGCTTTGCCATACTTCGTAATGTGGCTGTTATGTCTGATCGTTAGCCCGATATCGGACATGCTGATTAACAAAAATATACTAAGTATCACCGTAGGGCGAAAGCTCTTCAACACGATTGGCCAATGGATACCCATGGCTTGTCTAATTGGTATGAGCTATATGACGAGTGAAAAGAGCGTAGAGGCTATAACACTGCTTACGATCGGTGTTGGTTTCAATTCGGCTGCATTTTGTGGATATTTAGTCAATCACATGGATCTTTCGCCAAATTTCGCTGGACCAATGATGTCCATTTCGAATGGTTTTGGCAATTTGTTGTCATTATTTGCACCATTAGTTGTGGGCGCTGTCGTAGTAAATGAGGTTAGGATGGATGGGAGTTTTCGGAGACTTCTTTTTGCACTAATATTTTTTACTAATAATACTTTCTTTAAAATTTCCTGTCACAGGAGGAACCCAGCGAATGGCGAATCGTTTTCTATATAACAGCCGGCGTTTATTTGGTATGTAACGCTTTATTCATCATATTTGGTCAAGCGACAATACAACCATGGAATGATCCCACGAATTTGCCCACAAACACAAAATCGCAGACAATTGAAAGGATAGGGCAAGATACAGAGGCTACTGTTACTAAATTCGAGTAAATTGGTATTCGATAACTTTAAAACAACATTATTAAGAACTGATAGCATATAAAGAAAATATAATAAATACATTATCTAAATATCTATATATGTATATATTAACATCTCTAAAAAAACAAGAAAGAACGTTAACATCTTTTGCACTTAAGCTATAATACAGTTCATAAAAAAAAACAGCGTACATACAAGATTTTGAGCGATCAGTTTGTATAGCAGCTATATGCTATAGTGGTCCGATCTTAAGAGTTCCTTTTCCCCAGATCGACTCAGCTCGGCACGCTGAGTGTTTTGCATACATATCATATATATATATATTCCATTATATATATATATTTTATAGGTTCTCAGGGTCATACTTTCATTTGGTGGTTAATTGTTTACTGCGGGCTTTTGCCGTGTACAACTGTCAAACGTTAAGGAATTAGCACACGTCTGAGATTTACTCATCTAATAACACTATTTTTTTGGTGTAAATCTACAACAGAAACTCTTACAAACAGGGTTAGATCTCAGCAATCAACTCACCTTTCTCCGCTCTCCCTATGGTCGCTTCTGGGATCTAGCATTACATGATTTCGTTGACAGTTAATTTTGTGCTTTTCCAAGCTTAGTTATCAAATAACTTTCATTTTGTAAGCGAAGAATAAAAATCAAATCAGAAGGATTATTTTGTGAGGAAAAAATAAAAATTGAAAAATAATTTTTTTGCCCATAACTGTTACGGTCCTGAATTTAGATGGTATAAAAAGGAGTTCTCTTTATGTCGATATGTTGGAATTTCGTATTCCTCCTAAACTTACATGGCTTGAGCAGGGTATATTAAATTTGCATCGAATTTTCTGGCATCCAGAGGGAAACGTCGGAGACCCTATAAAGTATATATGAGTATAAACATAAATAATCAGCATAAAGAGCTGAGTCGATTCAGCCACGACACTTTGTCTATTCTAGCAAAGTTACAATCTGCGAATATACCATAGTATTGTTCAAATATGATTACCATAGCATAAAGCTGGCATACAAACTGACCGATCATAATCTGATAAAGATCTTTTTCCTTATTAAGTAACCTTAATTCGACTTAAAGGTTGTTTATCGGTATCGGTTGAAAAAAAGCAGTAATCGAAGTTTCCGAAATTTTACAGCTTCCAATAATTGAAATATCGAAATAAGTTGGCAGAAGTGGAAAAGTTATATACAATTTCTTGCGTAAAAAGCCGGAGTACGGTCGATAATATTAAGGCGGTAACAATAAAGTGTTTTCCGATGTTAACAAGAGAGCAATTTTGAGAAAAGCATCCAACTCTCATGAATCGACCGCCAAGATCAGGGCAAATGCTGGTGTTAAAGTGAGCTTATCTACTGTTCAAAGGGTGCTGCAAAGGACTTCTTCAATTTTGAAACTATTAAAACTAAAGAAAAACTTAAGATTGTCCGTGAACTTAAAAAGGGTTGTATCAACCCAGCCCGGGTCACATCTTGAGTGTATGTAAATATTTAAAATTTTTACAAATCTAAAATCTGCAGTTTATAAAATTTTTTTGTTTAAGTTAATATGTAATGGTTTATTTTTTACTACTGCTATTTATCTTTGACTTGTAGATAAACTTATTATTTAATACATATATTACTTGAAAAGCTTTGGAAAATATTTTCAGAATGCTGTACTGAAATGTAAAATGCAATTATACTTAAATATATATAATATATAACTGTATATCATGCATTGTTACTTCATTTTGTTTTGCAAAATTCGTTGTTCTTCTAATTTATAGTTAATGCGTCGAGGTATAGAATGTGTGCGAAAGACTGTATATAACGATATAATCCAACTTATGATTATTGTAGCATATAAAATAGGAGGGAAAGCCTTTTCATTTCCTATAGGTATGTCAGCTCGTAAATCCGTTTTAAGTTGAAAATGAACGTCAATTAAATACCAGTCACAGTTTTCGTATACAGCGAAATTTGCTTTTGGAGATGAATTACTATTATTTTCGTTAATTTTGGTTTCAAAACTTAAGCTACGTTCATTTAGACAATAATTATATTTAGATGCTGTCTCCAATAATTCTTCAATAGAGTTGTCTTCAAGCGTTTTGCATTTTATATACAATTTCGGAATGGGTATTTCAACAGTGGCGAATTTACTAAAAAAAATAGTACTACTTTTAGGATAAGCAATTAAAAATATATACTTGCATTTTCGTACTTGTATTTTTTACTCGGGGCATGGTAGCGATAATGTATAGGCAATTTAATGATGTCTGTTGATTGCGGCACACCTTTTAACATGATAGTAAAAGATTTAGATTTCTCTGTTGGCGACTCAATATCAACAAATTCCGGAAAAATACCGTTTATCTAGTAAATAGGTAAACATGTTCCAAATAATATGTAATATGAACTTTATTTCAATTTGATATTTACCGCCTGTAAACGTTTTAAATCATCAATTTGATCAACACTAATGTAGACACCAGCAGGAAGGAGCTGCTCCAGAATGTAATCACAGCTTTTATCAGATAACGCATTAGTAAACTGAACAGTGTATATGAGATCGCTGTAATCATAAATAATGAAAAGTAAAATGTAAAATGTAATTGTAATTATCCATATTACCGGTGCATTCCAGTATCGCTTAACTGCAAACCCACAATAGGTTTGGCAGGCGATTGACTGCAACTGTGACCTTTAGGCAACAGAAGCAGTACTGAAAAAGTGTATATCGCAACAGGAATCATAACTTTATATTAAATATAACTATATTTAAAAATTCGACAAAAACCACAATACTCACATACCGGCAAAACAGACTTAAAATTAGAACTAATCAGCTGGCCCTATTATGACAGCTGTTAGCCAGAAAGTTATCGATAATTCTTCGATATATTAGGTCTGTTTCTTAACTGCGAATAGCTGCTTACTAGCAGGGAGAAGATATTCACAGCTATTCTCACAAATAGCGATATAACGAAGAAGTAAAAAAACGGAAAACCAGCATAAACTAGCATTAAAATATCGAAATGTTGATTTTTACAATCATTTCATATCAACACTTGAAAATCTATAAAATTAAATTTTTATTTCATTCTATTTCCCAATTCAAAACAATTAGACAAACCAAATCAAAGAAAATGCGTCAAATATCGCTTGTACACACATGCGCTGTAACAGTTTCTTCATATGGCAGTAACTAGCAGCTCTATCAACTTTTTACGCTCTCAAATTGTGCTCTCTTCTGCTAGTTTTTTTAGGTAAGAAACGCTTTTCCATCAGAATTTTTGCTAGCTAGCGATAGTTGGCAGTTAAGATATAGACCTAATATTTCTTAACCCCTAGTAAAATAATTAAAACAGTTATAGAAATATATATTTTATAATCCCCATTTTAATTTAAACATACATTATTAATCATCAAGAAATATGCGAAACATTCTCATGTAATAGAAATCAGTCGTCAAAAATGTTTTACAAACATAAAATTTTATTATTGTTCTTACTAACAACTACTCCTTTCGAGTTTTCAAACGTCTGTACGTGTCAGATCCTTCCCTCGCCAATTTATCCGCCATTTCATTTCCAACAATACGATCGTGTCCCTTTACATAGTTCTAAAAAAACAAAAATAGTTTGGACATACACATGTAAATACTTATTGCTAAGTTTTTCTCACCCATTTCACCTGAATGCTGTTGTCAGCCAGCAACTTATCTAGTTCCTTAAAATCGACAGAATTTTTAACCGGTTCTCCATTTTTCTTTCGCCATTTTTTTTGTTTCCAGCCTTTTATCCAAATTGTAATGGAATTAATAAGAAACTGAGAATCCGTACTAACACAAAGTTTTTCGATAGCAAATGATTTTGCTGTATTAATAGCATAAATAGCCGCTTGAATTTCGCCTACATTGTTGGTAACACGACCAGTGACGGGTTTCGAGGCATTTCTTAAACAAAAAATATACAACAATATTTATATATAAATAGGATATGTAATGAATAACAAACGATTAAAATAATTACAATGGGTGGTTTTCTCCGAAATATACTCCAAAACCTGCACAAGCATCAGAGCCACCATTATTTATACATGAGCCATCAGTGTAGACAATAATGTACCCCTCCGAATCAATTTCAAAAGAAAGTTCCTTGAATATTATTTTATCCACTGGCTTCCAAAAGTTCGAAACATGCTCAGGATATTTTTTCTTTTTTGTACCAAGTTCATCAGACGCATCTCTCTTTCTTTTATTACTACACTCCACAGCACTTACAGCAGCAAGCTAAGTGAATTTTTTAAATTAATTCAAGTCATATTATCATTTCAATTGGCATTAAAAAATTTACCAGCTCTGAATCTTCTAGTGAATTTATCTCAAATGTTTCATTATCAGGCCAAAAGTCTTTCGGCGTGGGAGTTGTTGTATTTGTCGCAACCAACCCGTTCAAATTTTTAACAAAATCTTCGGCTTCAGATCTCGACTTGAATTTCTTATACTTGGCACCTTTAAAGCCTCTTACCTGCTCCTCACACTTTGCCCTGATAAAGGAAATACACCATTTCTGTGTTAATTTTTAAAACAAATTTTTCAAAATATACCAGCTTTCATATATCCCTATATTGTGACCACGGGCTACAGCGTAAAAAGACATAAATATGCCTTTTCCTGAATTTTTAAAACTTTTAACTAAATATTGCATCTAACATTAAAAAAAAACTTCTTTTGTTTCAATTAAAGCAATTGTTTTGATTTGTTCAAGCTAAATTTTAAACTGTTGCATCAGCTGTTTGTACTTGTTTTGAATGCAGAGTTGTTATTACATGTATCATTTCACACAACTTGTCCCTAGTGTATTCGCACGATATATATACCAGCTTATAACGGGTGATCCAAGTGGATGTACTTTTTTTCAATAACCTTTTTTCGACAGATTATGCGTGAGTCGTGTCATGTTACTTTTTTGTTTGGTATTGTTTGGCATTTCATCATAGAAAAACTTACGCCTGAACAACGGTAACAATTCGTGTAACTTTATTAAGAAAATTCACGTTCTGTAAATAATGTATTTCGCGCGCTTCGGTCAACTTATGGTCAGCATAATTGACCTACTGAGGTCAACAAGAAGAGATTCAAGAACTTCCATTTCATTCAGAAAAAACAACGGTTTGATGTGGTTTGTGGGCCGGTAGAATCATCGATCCAAATTTCTTCAGATGCCGCTGAGAACATAACCGTCAATGGCGACTGTTATCGCGCCATGATAACCGACTATTTGATGCGTGAAATTGAAGTTCAGCGACATTTGGTGCGAACAAGACGGCGCCACTTCCCACACATATCATCAATCAATGTATTTATTGAGAGAACACTTCGGTGAGCAGATAATGTTCACGTTTTTGCCGGTCGATTGGTCACCATGATCGTATGATATCACATCGAGACTTTTTCCTGTGGAGATATGCAAAGTGTAAAGTTTATCCGGACAATCCCGCTTCGAATCAGGCCGTGGTTCAAAACATCACGTTCAAATTAGACCCAATGAATGGACCATCTGAGACGTAGCCGCGGTCAACATTTGAAAGGGGAATAAACATTCCCCTTTAAATTTGAATATTTTGTGTTCTTCTCTTTAAAATAGTAGGAAAACTCGAAATGAATCACCATATAAGAGTTTTATTTCAGATAGTAGTTGCCATACCTTTCTATAGTGGAACAGACTTTTATATATTTTAACCAAGCTATTCCGATGGGATCTACGTAATATCCAGTTCACGGTCTTTGAAATTGTCGCTTTCCCTTTTCTACAATTTACTTCCTTCACTGCAGTTTGCACAAAATAAAGCTTACTACTCATTTTTACAATTAATATGTAATTCACATAACGCTATTTTCATTTTTTTCTTATTGTGTGGGCTGCAGTTCTTTATATTTGTTTCGTCGTAAACACATTTATAAGTTGTCAAAAATGTCAAAACTTCACTTTCACTCAACAAATAAAGCAAAAATTGGCGCGTGATTTAAAATTTTCTTAACAATGCCCTTTTACGCAGTAGCCAAAGGACGAAAGGAGGGTATATACACCACCTGGGCGGAATGCGAACAGCAAGTAAAACAATTTAGTGGAGCAATTTTCAAAAAATTTCCCTCACTCTCTGAAGCTACCGATTTTTTAATCAAACATGAAGCAAACATTTTGCGTAAAGGCCAGGAAAAGGAGTCTTGGGAAAAAGGATTTCAGCAATCTTGCGTTCTGCAAACTACTTTAGCAAATACTGTGTCAGAAAATCCAATTTCACCAAGTATAAAAGAAGAACCATTGTCTACAAGTTTGTTGTATAATGATAATGATGGCGATAAGGAATTGGTAAGATATTTGTATTTACATATTGCTGTTTATTTTAAGCAATGGTTTTTTTTAAGTTAACAGTATTACGACAATTGGAAGAAGGCCAGGGTGATAACACAAAAATTCATAACGTAAACACAAAAGTAAGGAAATTGGGTCTAATGGCTAACACCAAGCCCCTTAAAATCGGACATTACGCTTTTGATGCAAGCGACGACGGATATATAAATGTATTTATTGGTGGGCATAGTGAAAATATTGGTAATTGGAACTGTATGGCGGGTTATGGTATATATTTTGGAGAAAATCATGCTCTGTAAAGTTAAAAATTTTAAATTGTAATATTAGATATATATTTTAAAATTGTTTAGCAATGTTGCTGTAGCCGCAACTGGTCGCATGACACGAAATATTGGTGACATTGAAGCGGCTATCGAAGCTATTGAAATTGCCATACGGGTTGGTATACCCAAGTTATGCTTGCACACTAAATCTGAGTTCCTACTAAATGCTGTAGCGTTTTGGATGAATATATGGAAACGTCACGGCTGGCGTAATAAGGCTGGTAAAGTTGTGCAAAACAGAAAGCAATTTGAGAAATTGTATACTCTTATCAATGAGAGTGATATTGATATTAAATGGGTAAGACTTAATAAAGCAACATTTTATATAGTCTCTTTTTATGTAATGAAAAATTAAAATAGGCTGATGCTCGTAATGATTCGGGTACTTCGAATTGGAGGCAAGTTCAAAAACTGGCAGAAATTGGAACGGAAGATTATCTTGACCTTCATCCCAGTAAAGAAGATGCCTCCACGATGGAATATTTTGACGATTTTGTTTATTAGGTTTGGCTCGAATATTTTACACATATATATGTATAATATATATTTTTTTAAAATAAATTTCTTTATACCTTAAATAACTTGTGTTGCAAATATTTGGCAAAGAAATTCGCAATGTTTGAACACTTCCGTGCATACTTTTCAAATATTTTGTATGTAAACATTTTTTAAAGCAACTGTTTCATCAGCTCAAAAACCGTAAAACGTTTCTTGAAAATAAATAAACAATTTTATGGTTATATAAAGACCAAGATTCGACAGTATTCATGTAGTCTTTATCAAAATGAGGTTTTGTCAAGTTTCACTTTGTCTTCTAATAGTTGGCGTATGCTACGTTAAATACGCGAACGCTCAAAACGCGCTCACATCACTTAGTAACTCAACATTACCTTCTACTTCCTTAAACGCATCTACTTCGGCGCAAACTGGGCGGCGAAGGAGGGTACACATATCTAATTTGAAATTTACTGTTGTACGCACTATAAGGCGCACAAGAAATAACAGTGGACGAAATAGCGCTAACAGAAGACGCAATAACAACAGAAGACGCAATAACAATAGAAGACGAAATGGAAACATAAATGGTAATCGTGTTTCGGCAAATCGGAATAGAAATAGACGTAGGAATCAAATAATAAATCTTAATCCCAGAACGCAGGGATAATTCAGTGTAACAAAATTATAAATAAATACATATGTATTTTTTTTGTTTAATATAATATAATGTGCTGTTTGATTTCCATTTAATTAAAGACAGACGACAACTGAAAAATGAGGTACTTGTTGATATCGTTGTTGTTGTTGTAACGATTATGCAGACATTGTTTGGGCGGCAAGGCACAAGTCATTGTCATCAAAATTATTTAACGGGATTCCTAGGAAACGTATTGTTTTACTATATCGAGTCAAAGGGTGTTAGATCAGTTGGTTTCACAAGGAATGCAAAGGGCTTGTTAGTTATGCGCGGATTTGGTATGTCATAGTCGATTCTGGATAAGTTAGAGTTCAATCTGCTATAATATCCAGAAGGAAGTTGCCCAAGAGTCACTCTAGATTTGCGAGGCAACTCGATCCTTTCTGCTATGGGTGGTAATGAGGGAATCAGTGAAAGCGTTAATAGATCTACTGCTAGCAATAGCCAGCGACTTGAGATTTTTGTTGCCGCTGTTTACTTTGACAACAATCGCGGTAAAAATTTTTTCTTAACTTTAAATTTTTACTTCTATATAATTTGGATGATTGGCTCTCGCTCTGATCTTCAGCTCTGGAGAGAGCGTAGATTGTTCCATGTCTTCTAGGATCCTTCCTCACACCGTGGGTTTTGGTTAAGGCCACAAGTTATCTATGCGCTTATGACGCCGGTGTTACCGTGATCTTTACTGATGCCATGTTGATGATCTGCTAAGCTCAGATGGTGAGTGAGTAACAAAGCATCAAGTGTTTTCAATACTGGAGAAAGCAGAGTTATCGCCAATAAGACACCTCTCAGGTTTCAGTTAGTGAGACCACTCTTCTAATTTCCCACATATTGGGTATGTGAAGAGTATGTCACTGACTATTGATCATAGTGTGATATTTTATTCTTGTTGAGCCTAGGTGCATTAACATCAACATGTTTATGCCGACTAGGCCAATAGACTTTTGGCATTTTCCGTAGCCGTCAGGTAACACGTCTTTCCAACTTGTCTGTTGATGTTGTTGTAGCGATTATATAATCCCCGCTTGGGTAGTATGGTTCAAGTTGATTGTCATCGAAATCATCTAATTATAGGCCCAAGAAACGTGCTGTTTCGACGGGGTCGGACCACTGGGAAAAGGGTGTTCAAGGAGTTCTGGATTAGTAGGATCTTAACTTGCTACAGTACCCAGAACAAAGTTGCGTAAGTGTTGCCTGTCGAAAAGTGCAGTGAAACTTGCCGACTAAAACACCACGCGCACTTCTTCGTTTCCGAAGGAGCATGGTCATTGAATCAAACCTGCTCGTCATATCCCCCGGATTGGTTGTTTGTTGCCAACTATGTGAAATGCATATTCGTCTAACAAAATTTATTTGTTTTTGAGTAAGTTGATATTGCCTATGAATTTGTGGACATATGTGTTATTAATGTACATCAACAATATACATACATATGTGAATATAAAAAATGTTTCGGAGTTAGATTTTTATTACTGGTTTCGTATCTGCGGAAGTTTCTTCTCGATTCATTCCCTTTGTCTTCACGTCCATACTTCTAATATATCTCTTGAGTAGATTCTCTGCCTCGCTTATCCGGAATGAAGGGTTGCATGGAACACAAATATTTGTAAAATTAGTGGATATTTGCAGCTTATAATATTAAAACAAAAAAATTAAATTAATAAATATTTATATAAATTTACAATTCTACTGAGTTTATGAAAAAAGCGCAGAATGGAGGAAACTTCCATTATTGCACAATTATTATTAACAATACAACAATTTTAGTGGCATCACTGCGTCATATGTCATGTTGCCAACTTTACAAAATTTTAAAATGCCTACACACACAGTCTTTTAACGCCGAACCTCACCAATCCAAACACGTTTCAACCTCACACCGATACACACTTATGCTCCAACACTACCAAAACGCACCACCACTATGCCACACCACATCTCACACATATAGTGCGCTGCGCACCATTTTCAATTTTCCACTGTCAAATTTACTACGGAACGAAAGAGAAACGACGACGACGATGAAGACGATGTAGCAAAACGCAAGAAATTGAAATTGTGAAGCGCGTACGAGCGAAAATTTGTGAAAAAATTGTGAAAAGACGTGTTTTTACGGTTAAAAAATGTGTAATATTATTAGAATTATTGTGTGACTAAGCTAAGGTATAATAATTTGAAGTTCGTAAGTTAATTTGTAACCACGATTAAAAAGTTTGATTTTTATTCGCTGCCATTGTCGATGTCACAGTCGCTGCTGCGCTCGAAGCCGCAGCGAGGACGTCGCGCCCGTCATCGACGTTGCTATACCTAGTGCGAACCGAGACGAGAAGAAGCCGCCGCTGCTTCTATTTGTATTGTGTAGCCGACGTATGTGCGGCGCGAATGGACGAATGTTGTGTGAATGAGTGCGTGTGCCACAGAAGTGGCAGTGGCAAAACGCGCAGAAATACAAAATAAGTGAGTTGATTAAATAAACGCACGCACGTATTAGAATTAAATCGTAATACTGGTTCGATTGTGTAAATAATTTCTAATTGAAATGTGCTCTAAAATTAATTTAAAGCCGAATGATGTGGAATTGTACTGAAAAATTTTAGTGGATGTGGAAGGAGCAAAAGTAAAAAAAAAAGTGTAAAAGATAAGTGAAGAGGGTTAGCAGAAGAAGTAACATTTTTTTTGTTTCTATTGGAATATCAATGTCATGTGTGCGAAAGAGATCAATAGTGGATCTAGTTTGACAGCAACAAACCGATATAATCATAAAAAAGAAATGGTGTAAAGAAGAAACGCGAACAAAGTGTATGATAAAAAGAAAATTACAAAAGAGGAGTGCAGTGAAGTGTGTGAGTGGGAGAAGTGGAACAAACGGAATTGTGAAAGAAAACATAAAAATAACTATTCCAAATGCAGGAAGCGTCAACAAAATGGATAATAAAACAATACAATTGGATTTCAAATTACTGGTAATTAAGATTGCATTCAATGAAACAATGCATTTAATTAAACGTCTATTTAATATAAAACGGTATATTATTATGCACATAGTTAAAACAATGTATATATGCATTGTACACAGATCACTGTAGCGTATTAATAATAATTGAGAGCAAAATAATAAAAGCAGTTTTCTTTTATAAAATACTAATATGATATTTTTTAGGGAGGAATAGGAATAATTCTTATAAAACAAAGCCAATTGTTATGATTTCTTGTTTATAAAACAGTTAAAATTTCTTTCTTCTTTTTAAAAACTACTGCTACATTATGATATGACATTTTAAGAATATTTTGTTAATTTTTTGTGGAGAAATAAAAAAAATACGGCAATGGAAGCCGAAGAGACTCTGGACAGTCCTGGAAAAAAGTTGAATTGGGGTGTCCTTCATAATTCAAGGCTAGATTATATCAAATCCAAAATTTAAAATATATCGTTATATAATCGGTTTGTCCAGGAATCGCTTGAGGCGTTTAATAATTTCAATATTTCACTTTTTGAGAAAGAAAAAACCCGACTTTTGAGAAAATATTGGTTAATTTGTTATTCCAAAATGAGAAACAAGAAAACTCTCCTGCCTTGTCTCGTAAACTATGTGTAGAAATAGTGTTAAAATTTCAAACCGATCGGTGCAGTAGCTTTGACGTTATAGGGGCATCGACTTTGAAAACGTATATTGTGGAGCAAAACGTTTTAAAATTTTGAAATCTGATGGAAAATGTTTATAAAACAGATACAAAAATAACCATGACTTCGTGGATATGAATTTGAATCAGAAATTTTGTCGTCTAAGTACAAACTTACCTGTTATGTTTCTCTAAATTAACTCACCTAAATAAACCAAAAATATATAACTCAAACTTTCGCAATTATTCTTCACAAAATCTATATTGCACCAATCTCTTCAACTTTCCACAATAAAAAGCTAAACATTTACTACATCTCACACTAACCATAGATTTATAAAATGTTTATTGCTATATTAGGATATGATTCTCATTATGAAATTAAATCTTAATACGTTTACTTTAATTTCAAATTATTAAATCTGATTTGAGTAGAACATATTTCGGCGAAACGTAAAATTAAAAAAGAGATTTGTTGCATCACCTGTACCATTTATTGTACACCATCTTTATTAAAAATGATTATAGTTACCAAATTATAAAAAAAAAATATATATATTTATATACCATACATATTTGTTAAACGTTCAGTGCAATGTCGTTACCGCGCTGTCGTCCCACTTTAACCCCCAATACGCGTTTCGATTTTCTCTCGATATTCATTCATCCTGCCTAAATTAAACTCAACTGTCTGCTTGCCGCCTCTGTTGTTGTTCTGTTATTTTTCGATAACGTGTACCAGCAAATACATATACATATACAACGTTTTTTTTAACTCTCACTGTTAATGTTGGGGCTGACTAATGGTGTGGCAGCATTCAAATTCTCAGATCGAACATACCATAAACGCCAAATAAATTGGCATCCATATTAAATAGCAGTCTCTCTGATCGTTGCTCCGCTACTCACATGTTATGTTGTCTATTTGCCCACTTCCCAACTAGTTTGCTTTGGTTATATATTCAAAAAATGCGTATGTATGCGCTTATGTATATATGTATGTATATTTATATAGTTGTCTTTTGGTAAACTTTGCCGATATTGTTTATCATTGCGCTGTTTTCAAATTCTTGTTATAATACAAATGTATATGAACTTCCATACCAACATACCTATTATTGCTTTAAAAGAGTAAAAAAAAACATTAATTCGAGATCTAATTAGCACATTTATAACATCCCTATATGCGATAATAGATAACCCTATAAGTAAATTCAACAGAGTTGTATATTTTATACGATAATTTTTAAATAGTGTGAAATAATTATAAAGAAATAAAAGTGTATAGTAAAGATTAACCTATTTCTCTAAGGAAAAGCGTAATTAAAGAACGTTCGACTTCAGAAAAAAAGAAAAATATTTTGAGATAATAACCAATTTCCTAGAGAAGCAGCTCATTGACATGTCTTGAAACTTACTAAAGATTGGTTTTGTTATATCAAAATTTTTTTGAAAGCTGCTTTTACTGTCAGATCAATCAAGAAATCTTCAATCGTTGAAAATCCAACTGGAATTAATTGCTCATCGATTTTTATAGTGAATAACACAAACAGCATACTTAATTTTTTTTTTATTATTTTATATTGCATAATTTTTGCTGTTCGAATTTAAATTGTCTTACTAAGTTTTGCAAACAAAAGACTCAAGCGACAAACTATTTCTACGGTGATATTTTTTCATATCAAGTTTGTTGATAAAAATGTGATTTTATAAAAATTCATTTTCCATATCAAAGATTTTCTTTATATTTTTCCCTATATAGTTAATTTTTTAAAAGTATATTCAAAGTTCAGTGGAATTCAATTGGTACGTTCTCACAATTTATAATCGAACCTTCCATAAATGTAATTAATGGGATCCCAGAGAGTAGTAGATTACTTCCATTATTTTATGTCGGCCAAAAGCTTGTAAAACCAACATCAAACTGAATATTTATACCCTGAAAAGGTTAAATGTATTCCTCAAACACAAAGTTCCCCTAGAAGGAAACGTCGGAGACTTAGTAAAGTACATACATGTGCATAAATGATTAGCGTGATGAGCCAAGTCGATTTAGCCATATTTAGCCAAAGATCTTTACATACATACAATGTCGGAACCGTTGATATCGGACCTTCGAAATCAAGTTCTTGCATAGAAAAAAAATTTTATAAGATAAAATATCTATTCGGAATTTGGAATGGATTATTGTCCAAAGCACAATCTCCGAACAAATTTCTTTGATCGGACCACTATTGTATATACATAGCTGCCATATAAACTGGTCGATCAAAATCAATCTCTTTACTTTGGGAAGCGGATTATACAATAGCTTCGGTTTAACCGAAGTTAATGTTTTTCCCTTTTTTTTTTCTTGGCAGGGAAACAATTTTGTCAAAAGTACTAATATCAGGCCTTGAAACTTTCGGAAACTTTCATTATCAACAGTGAGATGCATACTACAAATAGCAATACAAGCTCGACCCAATACATATGTATGTATGTATATTAGCTATGCCGTCAGCTATATAAGCATACATTAAAGAACATGCATATATATCAAATAATTTGTAGAATATAATAGAAAATTTTTATTTTTTTCGTAATCAAAATTATTTGCATAAAAAAGTTCTTTATATACTAAAACGTGGAGCTTTCTTCACTGGCATTACTTTTAATTTAATATTTACATTTATACCAACCACATACATACATACGTATACGGTTACAAAACTTTTTGTAAATACATACATACATATGTACGCTTATAGTCGAAACTTGTATTTATTTTTAATTTTAAGCGAAGGTGGCATGAGGTATGTACACAAGTATATACAGATAAATGTTTATTTACTCAAATACATTCTACAAATTAAATACAAGCATAGTATGTATTTAAATAGTATATTTAGGCATGTAGATAGATGCCACAACTGCGGCTATTTCTCTCTAAAACAACGATAAAAAGCATGAGCAACTACAAAATCCAAAACAACCACGCGGCAAAGACAGCTGAGATGACGAGGCTGCTGCCGGCACCAACGGCAGCGCCATCGTTCGCGTTGTAGTTCGCTTGAACGCAACTTTAACGTTAGCGCCGACGTGATATCGACGTCTATTACGAAAATTCACCGAAGTGGCGAAGAAGGCAGAACAGAACTAAACTTTTGCTGCAGCTGCGCTGACAGTGGCAGTGGCAGCAATTCGACCAGGCTAGTGAACCAGCTACAAAATATACAAAATATGTACATACATAAAAAATATACATACATACATATGTATGTATAGGTGGCGGAAGGTGGTAGCAGTTGTGGCAGTGGTGACGTTGACTTTAGCAGCGAGTGAATACAAATTTCAGAATGAGAATAGAGCAGAGCAAAGTAGTAGAAAGAATAAACGAATTCTCTTGCATACATTTATATATAGCACACACACTCTATATACCCATAAATAAGTTTATATACTTTTGTTAATAAATATATACATCTGTATATGCAAATGCTAAAACATTCATACTAAATTTCTGGTATGTACATATATATATTTATATACATGTATGTATGTATGTGCGATATGTTAAAAATAATAAGAGAGGAGAAACCGAAATAGCATAGAAGACGATATGAATGGAGCAAAATGTAGTGTGGAGTGGAGCACATAGCCTGAATTTATATAACATAAATATTTACATACTTATGTATATACGATATGTACATACAGGCATACTAAACATATAGTGAATGCAATTAAATTGTTGTTATTATTTTGTTGTCGTTATTCTTTTTATACAAGTTTCTTTTGCTTTACTCCAAGCCGTTTTTGTTTCTTCTTGGCTTAATTAAATCCCCTTTTAAGTTTCACAATTTAAATTTTTATCACTTCTAATTGAATTTATGTGTTTCGGTGTAGGCAAGAGTCAGACGAAACGAAAATTTATATTTGAGCTTGAAAGCATGGATGAGAATTCGCAACTCAAATGAGAATTTATATATGAGCAGTGTAGACATGTATATACTTATGTATGTTTGTAGAAACATTCACGATTAGGGATGCAAAGGGTTATTAGCTTTGTATCTTCGAAAGTATGGATTATTATACCCTGATCAGGGTAACATTAAGGTTACCTATAAGTTTGTAACACTCAGAAAAAAACCATGTCCGTCTGTATATACGCGAACTAGTCCCTCAATTGTTGAGATAACGATCTGAAATTTGTCATACTTCCTTTTCTCTTCAAGATGCTGCTCATTTGTTGGAACCGCAGATATTAGACCACTATAGGATATACCTGCCATAAAAACTGAACGATCAAGCTCTAGTCATTGTATGTAAAACTTTTTTATTTGGCAAATTATCTTAACGA